TAGTAATCATTAATTTTTTAATATCGGAGTTGCGGAGTTGGCGGAGTTTGCCCACCTATTCTATAGAACATCCCAAAAGGGATTGGTAAACACTTAGATGTTAACAGAACTTTTACAAATCGAGTTCTCAAGCACTTAAAATAATTGGATGTAATAAAAAACTTTTGTATATAATATATTTATTATAAAGTTGAATTTATATTCGAAGCCTTTTATGTATTTATTGATAGCCTTATTCATAAATTTCGTACAGACTAAACACACCAAACACGTTGGGTAAGTATTCAAAAGAAAATTTAATATTGAATGTGTCGAGATATTATACCAGGAACGTAATGAAACGAGTGTATTGAGTTTCGGGTTCGTATACAAATGTTGGTATACTCATAATGATCCATGTCTAATTATTGGTTCTCATGACATATATGATCTAGATTCTCATGACATAATGATCTACTTTTTTATTGATTCTCATGACATAATGATCTACCTTCTTGTTATTAACTTGCATTATAAAAAGGATTGTGTAATATTTGTTTTAAATGTGTAAAAAAAATGGCATCTGTTTTTCCGAAAGCCGACGCATATGTTAACAAATTCTGAATTTTGTGTTTGTAACATACTGTAGCTCATTTTCTTAATGTGTTGAGATTTACTTAAAAATGTATAAAGTTCTCATTTTATATTTAATTCAGAATATTTTATTATCAAACCTATATATATGAAATTTTTAGTTACAATATTGATATCGTAACAAAATAAATGAATATAATTTCAAGATTAGGTCGTAAAACTAATCTAATCAAAAGCTTTATGATATAATGTAAGAATTAGCATATATAATTATAAATATCGTTTCTGCGTTCCTGATTTTAGTGCACATCTACCTTATTATGATAAAATTATCTTACAGTAAAAATATACACCGATTCCAAAATTTATGAAAACAGTAATCCGGTATGTATTACGGAACTATCCAGTCAAAATTAACGGATACGGATATCCGAATTCAATCCAAATTATCGGATCTATCCGAATTAGTCGGTTGCGGATCGAAGCACTGCCCATCTCTAGTCATAAGCTTAACCGCAAAATGACACATATTGTTTTTTAATCTACGAATGATATATATTGTCACGGATTATCGTGAAAATCGGATTATCGTGAAATTTTGGATCTATTTTATGTGTGATTTTTATAAATTTTTAGGGCCTTTTTTGTCGGCTTTTTTTTATAGTTAAGTTAGGATTTAGGGTTAAAATTATTAATAAATGTGGATTTTGGTTGGGCTTATATTTTCAAATTGACACCCCGAATTTCACAATGACGATATCCGCGACAATAACTATACCATTTTCTCGTTGAAGTTTAAAATTACAGTATAAATTAATATCTAAGCTCCAGTCCTATAAATGCCGCCGACGTTTTGTTACTAACAATTTTTGATTCAAACAAAAAAAAATTTTACTTATTTAAAATATAAAGACATACAAATATTACTCGAGTCTAATTCAGAACATTTTGGGATGCTTCCCTTTATGAACCTGATTGGTTGAATCTACAAATTTCAGATCGTCCATTTCAGTATCATTAACACACAGTTAAGTAACGCCTTTTAAACAAAAAAATTCTAATTTTTTATGTCATTAGCACTAAAATCACTACGTTCACATTAAAATCTGTTACGTAATTTTGGTACAGTCGCAATTAGGCCAGACCAATTTAATTCGGCGGTTTACATTACCCCCTTTTTGACCTCCCCCCTCTTTTGGTCTCCCCCTCTCTCTTAGGATCTGAAAAATTCCGAAGAGAAAATGAACGAACATATAAGACAAGCAAGTTCAGGCCGAAAATTTTCGATTTAAAAAATTTTTATTAAAATTTACTATGTCGTTCCATTTTTCACCCTCCCCCCTCTAAACCACCGAATTAAATTGGGTCCGACCTTACGTGAAGATTGCACTGATCATCAATAATACGTAAAATGCCTAATGCTGTGGTGATTGAAAAAATATCAGGAAAAATGATATGCAACAAATTTTATCCATATCTAAAAATCATTAATTTACAATGGTTGAAAAAAAATCCGGAAATGAGTGTCGCTAAAAGAAAACCCGAAAATTTAAATATGATTTATATTTAAATTTTCGGGTTTTCTTTTGGCGACACTCAAATAATATGCAACAAAATTTTTCCATATTTAAGAATGACTAATGCTAAATTAATTTTTAATTTATACCGGGTGTTTGATAAGTCCCTAGACAGGACCTTTTTTATATCTCCGCTAGTTTTAGTTTTTATTATATAAAATATTATAACGATATTACTAATTATTACGTATTTTGAATAAAGAATAATAGAAATTATGATTTATTTAATGATTAAAAAAGTCCTGTCTAGGGACTTATCAAACACCCGGTTGTGGTCGGAAAAATGTTATGCAACAAATTTTTTCCATAATAATTTATATTAGTTGAAAAAAGTTCCGGAAAAATGATATGCAATAAATTTTTTCCGTGTTTTAAGAATAAATTATTCAATTTCTATCGGATGCTATAAATAGCAAGATGCTTTAAATAGCAAGATTGTCAAAATATTATCACACGGTGGACGATCATTCGTAAATTGAAACAAAATTGCCGATTCTCAATCGATACGTGTTATTTTTCAATCTCCACCGATTGAAAAATAACTTAGGTTCATTTTTAATGCAGGCAATTATTAGACCCATTATAGTTATTGTATTAATATAAATAAAAAAGTTAGTTTATCAACCACTGATTTAATGATTGATGCCATACTATCGTATTATTAATAATAAAAAAAAATTACCTTATAGTTATTCAATAATTGATGAACTAATATAAATAAGAAAACCAATTTTTATCTTACATTTTTTCAATTTTTCAATAATTATCATGGAGCCACGACAATATAATTTCCTGGATCGCGAAACTTTTGATCGAGTTTGGGGAATTTACATTAGCCAAAGAAAAAATAAACGTAGTTTAATGGATAGGTGTCGCTATAATAAATGTTTGGATGTATTAAAAAATAAAAACCTTCCATGGAACCCAAATTTTAAATATTGGGTTGTACACTCTTTTAAAATCCTTATTAACGGTACAAACGAAGAGCTCCATTTAATTAATCAAGCCGGAAATCATTTAGGGACACAAGTTTGTCCGGTTGAAAATTTTTATGAGATAATTTGTTCAGCACATCAAGCAACCAACCACGGTGGTCAAGAGAAAACATGGAAAAAAGTAAATATTAAAAAGTTTTTTTAATCGAAAAATTACATACTAAATTCAAATTTATTAATTTAATTTAAGATCCGTGTTAGATACTGTTATATTCCGCAACAGGTAGTTGAAGATGCAGTCCGTGAGTGCAGAGTTTGCATTACCAAGAGATCCCTTAAAGATACTCCAGTTCGTGCGGTTGAAGTAGAAGGTTTTTTAAACCATGTACAAGTAAGAATTTAATTTTTATTTTGTTTTATTTAATAAATATAATATTAAAACAATCTATTTGTAGATCGATACAATTGACATGACTTCGGTACCTGATGGAATATTTAACTATATTTTCCATATCAGAGATCATTTCACAGGGTTCTCTTATGCAGAACCATCAAGATCTAAAAGTGCTGAGGAAGCTGCCGCATGTTTATTTAATTTTTGTTTACTATACGGCCCACCTTCCGTACTCCACTCTGATGACGGTGATGAGTTTGTTGGAAAGCTTGTTCTAGAAACTTTAAACTTATGGCCAAATATTAAAATTGTTCACAGGCGACCCCGAAATCCACAATGCCAAGGATTAGTTGAAATGGATAGTGTGGGCAATGATATTCTCCAGTCTAAACTAGAAGCCTGGATGAATGAAACCAATCGAAGTGATTGGAATATCGGTTTGAAGTTCATTGTTTGTAAGCAATTTATGTGTAATATATTTAATAGTATGGTGCGAACCATCTAAAGACAACAAAAAATGATATATTATACAGTTAATCACCTAGTATGCTCCTCTAAATTTGTTCATAAGACTTCACATAACACCACTCAAAAATTTTGATACGTTTTTTTAAAAATCGCTACTTCTCAACAAATTTTTGAAATTTTGTAAAAGCAATACTTGGTAAATATTATTCAGAAATGTAGAGCTAAGTATTATTTTTGCAAAATTTGGAATATTCATTGAAGAGTAGCAATTTTGGATGCACTTAGATAGTTTGCACCATATTACATCTAATTCTTGCGAAATTTTTATGTTATGCATATAGTTTTTTACAAAATTTTATTTTTATTTATTTTATTTTATTTTTATTTTATTTTTATTTTATTTTTATTTTTTAGGGGCTATGAACAGCCAATACAGTACTGCGTATAAGTCCGTCCCTTACGAAATAGTATTTGGACAACCTCCACGTCTTGATACGAATTTAGCCAATTTATTTGAAAACAACCATTTCTATCCACCAACTGAAGAGTCGAGTTTGTTATCAGATAGTCAAACTCTAGTTTCTGAAACTGATTCTCAAGAATTGAATAATGATGTAGAAAGTTCGGAAATTGGTTCAATTTATTTTGAAGAAATACGACAAGACAATAGTGATGTGAATAATAATACAGATGAAGAAATAAATAGTAATGCAGATGAAGAAGTAAATAGCGTGAGTATAAATTTTATTTATTAAATTATAATTTTATAATAAATTAATCAATGCATTAATCGATTATATAAATTACAGGATGTGAGTATAAATTTCAATAATATTTATTAATATTTGTTTGTTAAATTATAATTTTATATTGAATTAATCAATGCACTAATCGATTACAGAGAGTGAATATAGAATTCATTAGTGATACGGATGAAGAAATGTACAGCAATATGGATGAAGATGAAGCGCAAGAAATGAATACACAGAATAATTTTCTTCAAGATTATTCTGAAGCACGAATTACTAGTAACGAAATTATTATTATTGACGATTCTGATAGCGATTCTAATGAAGATCGGCGTTATACTGTGCAAGAAAAAGCAAAATGGATGGCATATTCTGGTAACGATACTGTTAAAAATAGACCTGATTACAAGGTATAACTCTATATATTAATGAATTTGTGTGTTATAATTGATAGCAACGGGTACTTTAAGTAATATATCAAATATAACTCGTCCAAAATTTGTACAGCATAAAACGATTCATCATTCAGCTAGAATGCAGCAAAAATATAGAACCAGACGTGACCGAATATTTAAGCCGGGTGAATTGGTGAAAATTCATATTCCAAACATTGATAGGCAAAAAATGGACCATCAACCTTTACCCTGCAAGATCATTCAAAAAAAACCCAACCGTGACTCGTATCAAGTTGCTTGTCAATTCGGAATACTAGAAAATTGGTATTCGGCAAGTGAACTTGAACCATTGGAAGCTTCTGATTATCCTTTAGTGAATGTGGTCCCTTTAAATAATAACATAATTTCATTAAGACAAGCTGGTACGTATTAAGTAGAGATTATCCCGATCTTCAATATTTTGAAGAACTTGGAGAAGTGAATTTACATGTTACGATGTAAAAATTATAAATATGTATATGTATATTAATATATGCGGATTTATTAAATAATATCTAATTTATACATAGTGAAATCGAACGATCGGATGAAACAAATGGAGCGAAAATTTTTTCCAACTAATAAAAGACCGTTTCAATGAAAATAACTCAAACAAATCAACCTAATTGTTGTCATTGTCAAAAGACAACTGTAACATTAAAGTTTATTTTTGTCGAAGAAATAATTTACTGTGCACAAGACGATACAGTTGCATTTTACATGATGAATGTGAAAATAGATATTTTTTTATTTTCTTTGCTTTAAATTTATGAACAGAACATGCGTACATAAATTTATCTATGCCGTCAAGGGGTTTTTTTTTTAAAAAAAAAAAGAAAAAAATAAGAAAAAAAATAAGAAAAACAAAGTGATTATGAAATAACGTACGATATTTTTAATTTTGTAATGACATATGCGACATAAATTGAAGAATGAAGAATAATTACACCGCACTAACAAATCAATAATCATAAATTAATTAACAAATCAAGAACAAATAATGAACTACATATGATTATCTCTTCTAAATAGAAATTTAGCGTAAGCATTAGACATGAGGTTTACAAATTTAGCGTGAATACCTAGTGATGTCTTTTCATGTTAATAACAGTCTCTGATATAAAAATAAATAATTCTATTAGTATTTCCATTTTGATAAATTGAAATTTTGTATTATCTCTAAAATAAATGTGTTTTGTAAGTCTATTCACTAAAACACGCTAATATTCAGAATTTAAAATCGATAACGGATTAATACATATCTATTACAGCAGCAAGTCATTCTTGTGCTTGGTAAGTTACCGATAGGTCTAAACTCAACGTAGTTTTATAATGCCCTATGATTTAACTGATTAGAAAATTAAAGAACTTGAAATCATGGTTATAATACCTGAACAAATAAAAAGCCCTTTCAAGAAATCCTTAAACATTAAAAGACTTTGGCTTCATGAAAATTCAGTCTATTAATTTAGATTAATAATAAAAAAAAACCGACAGAAATTTCGAATACCACATAATGCAAAAACAAAAACCAACTGAAAAATCAACTTTGTGTGACTAAATACTCAAATAATCAAAATAATATTTAATGCAAATTAAATAAGAAATGATTTGTTCATTTTAAGAACTTCGATTATAAATTATTATAATATTTTGATAAACGACTACAGTATTAACTTGCAGTCCGAATAAACATAATAAAAAGAAATTAAACAAGAAATGAATAGATCATAAGTGAATCAGATGCCAATCAATAAATAATCATTACAACCTACACTTGAATAAGAATAAATTAAATGAAAAGTAAATAATATATGTATAACGCCAAGAAAAATCGGGACTGCGATCATATAGGGTCTTTGCCTTGAAAATCACCTTCCGAAATTTCCGATCGGGTAAATTCGGATAAAAATGCACCCGAGTACCGGTTCATGTTTATATGTTAATCATCTTTTAACTTATTGATTCAATTTAATAGTTTATCGAATTACTATTGAATCAATGTAAAAGATGATTAACATATGAACATGAACTGGTACTCAGGTTTATTTTTGTTCGAATTAACCCGATTGGAAATGTCGGAAGGTGATTTTCAAGGCAAAGACTCCATATAAATTCTATATGAACGAAATCTGGTTTTCCCTTGGTCAATTAGTGTTAGCTTATCTTTGAATAACCGATTGAAATATATCAATATATTAAATTAATTTAAAAAAATTGAATACAAACAAATGAGTGTTAACTTATCCCTGAATAATTCGATTAAAACAGTAATCAGATCAACGTAAAGAAATTGAATAAGTGATGATTAATTTACATAAATTTAAAATCAATTAATGTTGTTAGGCGAAACCATTTTGGGCAAATGGCGAAAGACGAAACCTAAACCCGGCGAAAGACGAAAGACGAAA